TATATATATATATATATATATAGATATATAGATTTGGCCACTTCCTGTTGAAAAACTGTTTATCATACCACTTAAGTTGGTCTGGCTTTTTTTCGAACATTGTAGGTGGTTTATTGCTGGCCACCTTAAGCAGGCCTATATATATATATATATATATATATATATATATATATACAGTATATGGTGGTCAAGCTGGTTTTCTCTAACCAAGTAGACATTAGGCCTGCTGTACCAGCTCTGATCAACAATCTAGACCTTCTTTGACAATTTAATGGTGCTTAATTAACCAACTTGGAACAGCCATGTAAAACCATCTACCACCTAAAAAGCTACTTCCTGTTGAAAAAAAAGGTTTATTCTACTGTTTAAAGAAGTCAAGTTGGCTTTGCGAGCATAGTAGCTGGTTTATTGCTGGTTGAAGGTGGACTGCTGAATTTGGGACAACTAACTAATGGCTCTAATTAAGCAAATTGGAACAGCTAAAAACCATTTAAAACCATCTACTGTATAGTCTGTACAACATTTGCATTTGTACAACATACTTTGAACAAAAACTATTGTCATGCTGTATTGATAACTAAGGGTGTGTGCACATCAAAAGCGAATGTAATTATTTGCGCGAGTAGATTACATACAAAGTCAATGCAAAGACGTGAATGATGCAAATTGGGTGCGCGAATGATGCAAAAATTACGCGATTGCTACAAACACAATATTCGCTTCGCTTTTGTGTGCACACACCATAACAGATAATAGCCTATTTTTCTGCTAAGTGGTAGCAAAAAAAAATACATATTGCCATTTTTGTTGAGTGGTGAAAGAAGAGTGCAGATTCTCATTCTCAGATTCTCGGACAAATCTCATATTTTATTATTTTTTTTGGTAGCTTTATTTACTTTTTTTTACTACAAAACTTTGTTCATTCTCCAATCAGATTACAGGAGAGGAAATGCCTCACGATCCAACATGGTCCCCTGCGATGCAAGCCTATGTGCTTGTACAGTTCCTTCTTTTGCTGGATGTATATAACAACTTATTAAAAGATCAAACGGTGGGTACTTTTTCCTTTGTTTTTTTTTTTACATTCACTGTTGAAATCGACATCTAATTTTCCCAGAAATGTGCCCCACTGAAATGTCAAAGCTATCATCTGAATGCCATCTTTCATTGCCATCTACAGGAGCTTTAAAAGCTTTTAATTTGCTGTGTTGTTAATGCTACCTACCAATGTCTATTATCAGCCTCTGTCTCTCTCTCATTATCCTAAATGTTCCTCTAATAATAAGGCATTTTACTAGCTGAGTATGGACAGAATATTTTAAAGTGATCTTTGTCTATTATTTTTCAACCCACCCCCCTTTTTAAAAACATAGAGATGTTCAGTTGCCCTTGTCCGTTATCCTTGGAAGTCCATGTTCCCCAGGCATATTTTTGGTTAGCCAGAAAGCACGGCCCCACCCTGCCTCCCTGCTGAATTGAAACGGCCTGTTTTCCTTTGAGTCCTACCTCTGCGGTGCTCTTTTAGTTGTGGCTCTCGGAGAAGTGTCCCCTGGATCCCTTTCCTTAGCTCCACCAGCCAATAAAACAGCCGGTTGGTGGTCCAGCAGCCAATACAAATGCTCTGACTGCTTTCCCAGCCCCTGGAAACCTTCCTTTTGCATCAGTCACTTTGTCCAAGGAAAATAACAAACCGAGGCCTTGAGGCTTAGCAATAAATAATGTAAAAATGTGTATTTATACCTTGTTGTCTGTTTGCATTCAATTCCATTGCTACAGTGATGCTACAGAATTGCTTAGTGGCACTCCAAAAAGTTAATTTTTAGTCATCTTTCGATGACATCATCCATACAGGGCTATCAATCCTGCTGGATGTTTGACTAACTGTTCAGTATGGAAGGCCTGTGTAGTTGACCTCTGCTGAAATGCAAATTTCGGAAGATGGTTTTCCCCTTTGGCCTCTTAGTCTGTTATTTTTTAAACTGGATATGGAAAGGCTTTAAAAATTAACCAATCAAAATAGATTTTTCCCCCTGTTTGTTAATTGTTGAAAAATGAGCCAGCGCTTCAGGGCTGAGGTCTGGGATCTGGATTCTATCTGGTGACACACAGGAAAACGTCTGTAATTGTTTGCTGGTGTCATATCAAAGACGTTGTGAGGTCAGTCACCTGACTTAACCACTGCTGAGTACGATGGGTTAGCCAGGTCAAGAAAACATTATTAACATCATTCCTTGTATTAGCAGCAAATTATCACCAGATTATGATTTCAGTGTAAATCCAGCCATAGAGGTGTGCCAATTCAGTCATAGATGATACTTCCCTAATGGTTGGCCTTGAGTTCTTGGACCGTCGAGAGAGTATTACTCAACTGTCCTGACACCTAAATTTGTTAGGTCACTTTTATTCAGCTGTGTTGCTTGAAAATGATTTGAGTTAGAGTTAATTTTATTTTGAGTAAGACGAAAGAAAGTTTTTTTTAAATCATGACCTAAATTGTTGTTCCCACAATTTATCTATGTATACTATATTACTATCTTACTTATCTTTCACCTGCAGATACTTTCTGAGATGACTGCACTTCTTTTGACTGGCTACGTATTACTTTCTCTAACTTCTTTGGGCTTCCTGATCGATCAGAGGTACAGCTCCTATAACTCCTGTTTTTATTTTATTTTATTTTTTATTCTTTTTATTCTTTATTTGAACTGGGCTTAAGGTGAACCGTCATTTTTTCCAGTGAACCGATTTTGAAAATTGATTACTGTATAGAGTATATGGATATTATATTAATATACTGTATACAAAACAGCACAGTGCAATAATAAAATATGTAAATAAGAAAAATAAAATGTTGTTGTGCCTTTCTTCCAGGGCTAATGCAGCTGAAATGGAGATGCTGAGATGTGTTTTGATAATGGCTCTTCAACAGTTTGGCTACATTAAACCTCTGGTGCCTCTGTTGGCTTTTCCGATTGAAGTAAGTTTGACTGACACATACATCATTACCATAGTCTCTATTACAGATGTCCAGCTTCCATTTAAGCACAAGACGCTCTTTGAATCATTCTCAGAAGAACATTGAACACGAGAACATTATCATCAGGTTTTACACAAACTTGTTGAGTTCATGCAGCTCAAGTGCTACACAAAGGGAGATAAATCAAATACTGGCAAACTGATTTTTCAATTAAGCTTTTCACTCAAATTTTGATGCTTAAATGATAGAAATAGACGTATTTCCACTAGTGCTATCAGACATGTTTATATGTGTTAAGTCCTTCCTAAATGTATGTGTGTGTGTGTGTGTGTGTGTGTGTGTGTGTTTCAAATCTGGCACTGGGTCTTTCTACACGCCTCAGTGATGTATGACTCCAGATGCATGGCCCAATTGACCATAAAATTGCTGTGTGTGTTTCTGGCACTTGCAGCGTGAGCATCTCAGCTGACCTTTCATTAGCGCGCCACCTCTCTCTTCGCGAGCCTCCATCCCTCCCTCCAGCTCTCCTCTTCTCACCATCCCAGTTTACGCAAAGGCAACGTTTCTGGAATCAATTAAACACGTCTGCGGCTCGCCGTGGAAGACTGATTAGATTTACACAAGAGCTGAATTGCTCGTTTTACTTTGAGCGTGCATCTGTGAGCTCAGGTGCTGAAATGCCCGCAGAACAGTTTTAGTAGCGTCATATTTTTGTGTCCGTGTGAACTGTACCCATAGACTGATTTAATGTGTTTCTGTTGTAATAGGCCAGGGAAAGAGTTTCCCTTTCCCTGTAACTTTCCTTTAGACTGGTCTATTTCCAGTAATGCCATTATGACCCTTCAGAAACATTATCATTTGCTAAAAATTGCCCTGTCAGTTCCTCACTCATCTCGGCTTCTGTTTATTTCAGCTATTGGATGATGTTCTTCCATTTCTGCCTGTGTTTTTTCCATTCTGTGTTTTTCCACCCATCAAAGCTAATATTTGTCCTAATTTCTAAAGGGCGAAACAAAAATTGTACCGCTGCAAAGACCCGCCCTACTTTTTTTGAAGGAAAAGGTTAAGATAATATTATCAAGATCAGCTTCACACAAAAGCTGCAGTCAGCAGCGCCGCTGGCTTATCTTTTCATAGCACCTGACACCCTCCAGCACACCACAGGAGAGGATCTCTAGAGCTTGGAGCCTGAATTTGACTGATAAGAAGAGTATTAGCAAGTATTGCAGGTGATTGGGCACAAAAGAAAATTTTTCAAAGAATTTTATTTTTTAAATTTATTTATTTATTTTTATTATTTTTATTATTATATATATATATATTTTTAAATTATTTTAAATTTATTTATTTATTATTATTATTATTTATTTATTTATATATATATATATATATATTTTAATACAGTACCGTTCAAAAGTTTGGGGTCAGTTTCTTATACTTACCATGCCTGCATCTATTTGGTCAGAAATGCAGTTAAAACAGTAATATTGTGAAATATTATTCGAATCTGAAATTATTGTTTTCTATTTTAATATATTTTAAAATGTAATTTATTCCTGTGATGCAATGTTGAATTTTCAGCAGTCATTACTCCAGTCTTCAGTGTCACATAATCCTTCAGAAATCAATCTAATATGCTGATTTGCTGTTCAAGAAACAGTTGTGCTGCTTAGTATTTTTGTGGAAACTGTGATGCATTGTTTCGCTTTCTTTGATGAATAGAAAGAACAGTTTTAAAGAACAGCATTTATTTGAAATACAGATCTTATATAACATTTATAAATGTCATTACTGTTAATCAATTAGTGTCATTGCTGAATAAAAGTAATTTCTTTCTTTCTAAAAAACAAATCTTGCTAGCCCCCAAATTTCAAACGGAAGTGAATATACAGCTTTTAAATTTGTTAGTAATCAGCCAACTAGGAAATATCTGGTCCTTTCCATCATCTCTTGCTCAACATGTCTAGAGCATGTGATCTAATCACATCTCTGACATAGAATTTGTATTTTGATTTTACAATGTCATACTCAGTAACAAATATGAAAATCGCCACTCTTGATTTAAGAAGCCTAATGCTAATATATTCTGGAGCTTTCAGTGGCTTCAGGTTGCTAAGCAGGCTGCCATGGTGAACCGAACGTTCCTTACAAGCCCCAGGAGACCCATCCATCTTGGGCCTTGTCTCAGGAATCCCATTGAACTGATTTACAGAAAGTCCAGTGAGAGTCACACGAGGCTGCCACGACGCCCTTCACCCCGGCATCAAAGCACTCAGAGCCGGGCCGAACCAGGGTTCAGTCTCTCAGCTTCTTTTCAGAGAATTGGCGCTCGTTTGACTGCCAAAAGCAGTAGGGGGTTTCAGTAATGGGTCACCACTGCCACCTCAGCTCAGAGTCATGGACGAGTGCTTGAACTGCTTAACAGGTTTTTTTTCTATGTTTTTATGTGTGTGGTAAGCCAATGTTTTTGGTACGGTGAGCGATTCAGTGCTATGCTCACCAAGGCTGCATTTATTTGATCAAAAATACAATAAAACCCATAATATTGTGAAATATTATTGCAATTTTAAATAACTCTTTTCTATTTTAATATATTTTAAGATGTAATTTATTCCTGTGATGCAAAGCTGAATTTTTAGCATCATTACTCCCGTGTTCAGCGTCTTATGAACCTTCAGAAATCATTCTAATATGCTGATTTAGTGCTCAAGAGACGTTTCCTATTATTATCAATGTTGAAAATGGTTTAATATTTTGTGGAAAACGTGACATTTTGCACTCTCTAACTAAGAAGCAGCATGCATTACCACCATGTAGGCATCCACATGTTGAAAAATCCCCATCGCTAGTCATACATCACTGAGGTGACAGCAGAGATTTAGTCCTGTTTGCTTTTGACCCAAAACTGCAGCTGCCCCGGAGACTCGACTCTTTGCTTATTAAACCTGAGTGTGAATGTGTGCTGCTCGTTTCTGCAACTCTGCATGTATCTTTGTATTTATTTCTATCGCTTTTATGTGTGTAAAAGAGAGAAAAAAGCTGAGGGAGACAGAAGGAGAGACACAAGTGGTCATCTGAGACAGCAAGAGCAGTAAAAAGAAGGGAAAAATACTATATCAAAATGTACACATCTCATGTGTTTTTTCACTTAAAATACGCATGCAGAGGAAAATCTGAGAAGAAAAAGTCTCTCAACTTGATTGAAATATCTGCCCGTTTGTCATTTAAGGTTGCATTCTAGGATTTGAGACCGTTTCTCTGCTAAATCAAATCGACTTAGGTGGCAGCACAGCTCTGAATGAAAGTATAGAATGAGGTAGTGTCTCAAACATTTGCATTTGCGCTGTCTTTAATAATATTTTTATCCCTTTTGTCATACAAATATTCATTGAAATTCTTCTTCTAAATCTCTTCCTCCCATTTCATGCAAACACAAATATAGAGGGCTTCTAGTCTTTGTCCAATGCATATAATGCCCCAAAAAACTGTAGTATTGTAAGATATTTCTCCTAAGACTTGATGACACAGTGTAGATAAAACTAATGTGGGTTGCACAACTAATAATTTTATAATTTTAGGAGAATTTGATTAGAAATATTTGAAAGCAGAAACAGAAAACTTAAGCACAATGCTCTCCATTTAATAATAATAATATTTATTATTATTTGAATGAGAGTAAACTACATGCATTGAAAAAAATTGCATTGGCATTTGATTGGTGGATTCAGGTATTTTGAGGTCAGGAAGCACAGGCCATGCCTTTCCCTTCGTTTGTCTCTTGCTCTCTCTGTCTCTCTTCTCTCAGAGGGAAACAGCTGTGCTGCTCCTGAGGAAACTCTGGTTATTTCCCATTGGAGAGGTATTCTGATAGATAGAATATGATTTTGGACTCTGTTTAGAGCTCGGATGCAGTTTATGGTCTAGAACGCAAGGAGGGGCAGTTAAGGTTACAGCTTTTTGGAAGAATGTCACTTTTGGCCTGTTTCCACAGTGGCTTCTGTGAACCCCTACTCCAAATGCATCATGGGAGATTCTTTGGCCACATGCTTGACCTATTGGCTTTTTTTTTTATGTAGTATATTCTCCTGGTATGTGACATTTAGGTTTCTCACAATGAATTACTTCAAATAAGGTTTTGACTTATAAAAATAAAGTTAGTGCAGAGTGTATTTTGTAACAAAATCTTAAAATATATCAATTGTTGTATTCTCATTTACATTTTTGCACACCACCTGTAATTTATAACTTTCCATATATATATATATATATATATATATATATATATATATATATATATTTATATACATATGTACATTATATATAAGATATAT